TCGTCATGATGGGAAGCATGGCGGAATGCAGGTAGACATCGTGCTGGGGAAGGAGCTGAGAGTTCTACATCTGGATCCACAGGCAGCAGGAAGGGAGAGAGACCCACCCCCAGTGACATACTTCCTGCAGTGACACAAGGCCACTCAATTGAGGCCACGCCTACTCAAACAAGGCCACCCCTCCTAACCCTTTTAAATAATGCCACTCCCTATGAGCCTGTGGGGGCACATTTTCATCCAAACCACCACAGGGGGATTTTGAGGAATGGCTTTAAGGGTCTCGGAATTTGGGGCATGGTGGGGAGGGGAAGGGTCAGGTGCCTGGCAGGGCTATCCTACTGCTTGTATTGTTCGCTTTGCTCAAGCAAGCTACTCACAAAGGGGTGACAAGGTCATGCCATGCCTCTGTGGATTAGGGCGTCTAGGATTGCAGAATTCTGGGTTAGGGAATCAAGGTTCCCCTGTGTCCCCACTTTCTGACTTCCACCTCTCCGGCTGAAGGCAGGTCAGCGAGTCCAAGGCAGGTGGACAGTCTTTGAAGGCTGGGTCTGCTCAGCTTGAGCGATAGCTGGGCCCCAGAGCATGGAGGTGTTGAGGCCAAGAAGAGAGTTAGGACCGTGCCCACATGGCCCCCACAGATCTGACCCCCAGCACTTAACATGAATGGACGTCTGAGTACTCACAGCCACATACACACTAGAACACACATATGCATACAAATACACACATCCATGTATGTGCATACACATGCATGTGTTGGAACACACATGTAAACACGTTCACCTTAGCATCCTCGCAAACCTAAATAAACATATATACCTATCTAGGTACACAGAGGGCACGGTGAAGCCATTATCACCACTAGAGGGTGCTAGAAGTCTTCTCAGTTAACTCTCTCTCTCTCTCTCTCTCTCTCTCTCTCCCCCCCCCACCACCAAAAAGAAAGCAAAAGGAAAGAGGGCCCTTGGAAGATGCGGCATGGATGGTAATTCCAGTAAAGACAGCTGTCAATCTTGTAGGTTGGTGATGATAATAAAGCCTGAAGGACTGAGGCCAGACTGACAGACCCAGGAAGTGAGTGTTTCATACATCAATCAGCCACGGAGGCTTTTCCCTGGCCTGGACTCAGCCCCCGTCTCTTGCTTTCCATCCGCAGTGGCAGGAGCTGCCAGGGACGGGTCTCCCAAACACCTTCCCTTGAGCTGACAGGGTCTGTTCCTTCACCCTAGGCCCAAATGCAGCAGAGCCAAGTTCTGAAAAGTTCAGTGCCTGGTGGATGAAGTGGCTCCAGGCCCACCGCTGCTGGGCTGGGGTGCACTGCCAGGGCTGACTCTGGCCTCACGAGGGCTGGAGTCCCCTCCCTTTGGGTGTCCTCCTCAGTCCAGGAAGGACAACAGCGGCAGCCAAGGGATCTGGCAGCCTCGGAGCCAAGCCTAGCCAGTTACACCACAGCGCCCCTCACCTCCATCTGTGGTTGCTGCACGGCCTGTGCCTTTGCTCATTAGGAGCAGCCAGGGACAGGGTGACATGGGCTTTCAGAGTCAAGTTCTGGGCCAGGTATCCAAGGCTCCAGATTTGTGCTTGTGTATGATGCTGGGGATCAAACCAGAGATTCAGGCACATAAAGCAACTACCCACTGCAACACTCCCTAGTTCAAGGTCCTTTTAACATTCTTACTTACTTATTTACTAGACAGATCCTTAAACTTCTGATCCTCCCGCATCCATCCCCTGAGTGTTGGGATTTCAGGCTCGGCAAGCACTCTACCAACAGAGCCATACCCCCAACTCCATGGGCCCCAGTTTTGATTGTGGGATCAGCATTCCTAACCACTTAGGTTGTTAAACAGCCCACTCCCAGCCACACCCAGGGCCAGGGCCACTTTTGTAGAATGTCAGAAAGGATCCTGGACCCTGGGCCTCGCAAGCCTTTGCCAGCCTTCTTGAGCCACACGGAGCCAGCAACAGGCTCTAGGATGCTGCTTGGGATGCTCCCCAAGCCGGACGTTGGCCTTCTGCTCTGAGTGGCGGAGGCATGATTGGGCTGACCTGGTGTGTGCGGACCCTGCACCCTGGCCTTGCAGCATTTGGCCACACGATGCCTCCCACACACTCCGGGCTATGTTGTGTTTGGGGAAGGGAGTCTCTCCTAGAGTGGGGATAGCGGAGTCATCCCTGGCTGAAGCCCCCCGCCACAGAGCAGACAAGCCACGGGCAGTGTCAACAGTGACATCCTAAGGATGAAGGCTCCCTGAGATGGCCCAGCAGGAGAAGTTGCTGGCCATCAAGCCTGATGACCTGAGTTTGGTCTCCGAAAGCCACATGGTGGAAGGAGAGAAGTGGCCCCAGCAATCTGTCCCCTGGTCCCCACACATACATACACTAAGTGTTAAAATAAACAACATGAGCTTGACACAGAGTAAGAAAAACAAATTTCTGCACGGGGTCACTTCCAGCCACCCAGGCAGCGTGGAAACTTTCATAGTTTTGAACCAGGTACCCAACGGCTTTAAAGCAGCCTAGGGTTGGGGGCATTCACACTTATTCTTGTACTTACAGCTTCCGTGCCCAAACAACACAGAAATCACCCCTTCTCTCTCCTCCTGCCTCCTATACCCCTTTCCTACATGGCTTTGGGCTCTGCCCACATGAGAGTGTTCCTTACAGAGAGGCCCAGGCTGGCCTGTGGGGGCCCCGTGTGGGGGAGGACTGGCTGGCCTGTGGTGGCCCCGTGTGGGGGAGGACTGGCTAGCCTGTGGTGGCCCCATGTGGGGGAGGACTGGCTGGCCTGTGGTGGCCCCGTGTGGGGGAGGACTGGCTCGCCTGTGGTGGCCCCGTGTGGGAGGACTGGCTAGCCTGTGGTGGCCCCATGTGGGAGGACTGGCTAGCCTGTGGTGGCCCTGTGTCAGGGAGGACTGGCTAGCCTGTGGTGGCCCCGTGTGGAGGACTGGCTAGCCTGTGGTGGCCTC